GCCTGCCCGCCAGTCGCGGAGGCCGGCACCCGGCGGCCGCGCGCCTCCTGGCGGCTCTCCCCACCGGGCGCAGCAACAAGTGCGAGGCCGGGATTTATCCATGTCCCGTACTTCTCCATGTCCACCGCCTGGGAACCGACGTCCTGGTGCCCCAGCGGGCGGTGGATATGGACACATTTCGGCCCCCGGGGGCCCGAATATGGCCATATCCACCGCCTGCCGAGATCCCCGAAGTTGATCCTCCAGGCGGTGGTCATGTATCCATTCCGCCTCGGAACAGAAACGTTCGAGCTCGCGACGCTTCATTCTGCGCCCTCCGGCTTCATCGAGAGTCCCATCTTGCCCGCACCAACGTCGACGTCGACCACCCTGACTTTCACCTCCTGGCCGACCTCGAGCTCGTCCTCCACGTGCTCCACGAAGCCGTCCTTGATCTGCGTGATGTGCACCAGGCCGTCCGCCAAGGCGCCGTCTGGCGCCTTCACGTTCACGAAAGCCCCGAACGATGCGCACCTGGCCACCGTGCCGGTGAGCCACTCGTCGGGGCTGATGGACTCGAAGGCGCTGAGGTCGGCGGGCTCCCGGGAAGTAAACCCGCCGCCACCAAAGCCACTGTCCTCCCTCATGGCCACTGTCCTCCCTCATGCTCAGGCTCATCTTGTTCGCGTCCAAATCCACGGACTGGACGCGTACCTTCACTGTCTGGCTCACCGAGACGTAGTCGCTGATGTTATCCACGAAATCGTCGGTGATCCTGGACACGTGGCACAGGCCCTGCGCCTCTGTCCCGTCCTCTGCGGTCAACACGATGAACGCGCCGAAGGACGGCGTGCTCACGACCTCGCCCTCGAACCACTCGTCCGGGGACACGCCCTCGAAAGGGGTGACGTCGCTCTGGACACGACGCCCCTGGTCGCTGTCCGTCTTGCCCTCGATCATGGTCAGGCCGAACTTCCCGTCGTCGCGCAGGCCGCTGATCCAGACCCTGACCTCCTGGTCCTCCTCCAATACCGAATAGATGTCGTCGATGCGCTCCGTGGAGATGGACGAGATGTGCACCGACCCGTCGCCCTCGGCTCCGATGTCGACGAAGGCGCCAAAGTCCCGCGCTCTGCGCACGGTTCCCTGGTACTCCTGGCCGACCTCGAGTGAGTCGAACGGGATGGGAGGGACCTTCCTGTCCTTCGGGCTCACGTCGGACTCCTCCCGGCCACCGTCGGGATCAGCCCACTTGACCGTGAACGCGCCATCCTTGTCCGCCCGTCCTGTGGAAATCTGCCAAGCACCTGGTCGCCCCTCTTGTAGTCTCGCTCGACATTGACCTTTTTCATGTTCTCGGCGTGGACGTCCAAGGTCTCCTCGCCTCCATCAGGATCGTCCCACTTCACGCGGAAGATGTTCTCGCCAAGCGCCTCCGCCACCGTGCCAGGATACCAGCGCTCGTCGTCGGGATTTCTGGCCCTGCAATCGTCGCCGGCCTTGTAGTCCTTGGTGAATCCGCCGGCCCCCTTGTGGGGCCACGAGGCTGTAGGGCTAGGGTTTCCTGCTCCCTGCGCCAGTTGCAGGTTCCAGTTTTCACTGTTACAGGTTTGCTTTATGCTTCCTACTGTAAAAGATTACCGTCCGCGCGAGGGGGGGGGGGCCGAGAAGGAACCTAGTTAACACGCCCGAGTCGCGTGCTCTGAATCCCTGGGGGGGGCGTGGGACATGTAAAAATACATAAAATGCGCGCCCCCGAGGCCATACACCCTCGTAAATTATACCATGTTCCCGTCCCCGAGGTCATAACCCCCCATGAATTAGGCAACACTCGCGTTCCCGAAACCATAAACCCTCGCAACATAAACCATATTCGTGTCCCCGAAGCCAAAGACACTCGTAAATTACGCAACAATTGCGTCCCCGAGGCCGCACACGCTGGTAAATCATACAATATTCGCGTGCCCGAAGCCATAACCCATATAAATTATACAATATTCGCGTCTCCGAAACCATAAGCCTGCATACATTACTCTATATTCGCGACCCCGAAGCCATAAACCCTCGTGAATTACACACGGTTCGCGTATCCGAAACAATAAGCCATTGTAAGTTACTCTATATTCGCGTCTCCGAAGCCATAAACCCTAGCATATTACTTTAAATTCAATCTTTATTCGCGTTCCCGAAGCCATACACCCTCGTAAATCACGCCCCCGAGATCATACACCGACGTGAATTACTGCATATTCGCGTCCCCGAGGCCATACGCCCTCGCAAATTGCGCGATGCTCGCACAAGCCCTCGTAAATCACGCAATATTCGCGTCCCCGAGGCTATACAACCCAGTAAATACGATATGCCACTTGCCAATGGCCCTAGCATGAGATTCCGACATTGTTTCACGACGGCGCCGAGAAAATACAACACAGCTCTGGCATGCCCCATTCCGATTGAAAGGGGGCCGGCCTGCAGAGGGCGAAACACTTACGGATATGCACCTCTTGATGTACTCCTCGGTCCGCGACTTGGTCTCTGGGCCACCGTCTGGGTCGTCCCGCGCCAGCGCCCTCCGTCACCCTGCCAGAATACCACTGCTCGTCGTCGGGGGACAGCGCCTTCACCCTGCGCCCGACCTCCAGGGTGGTGTCCGCCTGGCACCGGGTGCCGACCTGCGCGAGGAGCACCCGAGGGCACCGCGCGGCCTCGCCACCAGAGGCACCCCGCGCACGCGGGCGGCTGGCGGCGCCCGCCGCCGACAGGAGGGCCAGCGGGCCCTTCAGCAGCCGGCAGGGCGAGCGCGGTGGCCGCGGCGAGGCCGCGGCCTCGGCCGCGCGGGGTGGTCGTCGCGGCGGGGGCCATCTCTGCGCGAAACGCGCCGAGGGGGGGGCCTGGAGCCAGGGGCCCGCGCCGGACGCTGAGACGGCTTGAGCCAAGATGGCTTGAGGGCGGCGGCTGTGATAGTTTGCAAAGGGGTTTCCTGCTTTGGAATTCCTTTATAAGCCTCGCAAAGCCAACTTGCAACAACGGGCTTGTTGCAAAACCGCGGTTTTGCAACAAAAGGCCTTTTTGCAACACCCCAGTTTTGCAACATCTCCGTTTTGGACATCCCAGCGATCTTGTTGAATCAAGACGATTCTGACCCAACTCGGAAAAGGTGCCGAAACGTTGATTCTAAGCGAAATGGGAAGATCTAGTATCTTGTTGCATCAAGACGATTGTGGCCCAACTCGGAAAAAGGTGCCGACACGTCACGTTTCGGCACATTTTCCGATCTGCTCCCTTCGTTTAGGATCCACGCCACGTTTCAAACGTGGCGTGGATCCTAAGCGAAGGAGGCAGATTTGCTGCATCAAGACAAGAGTGGCCCAACTCGGAAAAGGTGCCGAATTGGGCAAGCCATCGCAGTGCAGGACAGGACGCCCCTATGCAAAGTACCAGAGCCGCTTGAAAAAAAAAACCCTCGCCCTCCTGTCTTCCTCCTCCCTCCCCCCCTTTCCGACCGACAACGACGACGACGACGTGTGTCCAGATCGGGCACCCCAGCCAAACCTTCAGGTACGGGAGGGGGCCGAACAGCATTGCACGTAGGCACCAGATGGCCCAAAAGGGCCCAACCAGAGCACCAGAGGGGTGCAGCCCCACGCCCAGGCCCACCCCAAGACAGGTGGCGGAGAGGCGAAAGCCTGAGGCAACAAAAAAAATCCGCGGCCGTCGCCGCCGCCCCCGTCGTTGTCGCAAACACGCGGCTCACTTGATCATTGAATCATTGATCATGTTGCGCGCTTCCGACGGCGACGACGGCGACGACGACCGCGACGAGGGAGAAGGCGGGGAGAGGGACGATGATGAGGAGTTGGATGGGGCCACTTCCAAGTGCCCCGAGTGGCAATCGGCGGTTGCCACTCGCTCTTAAAAGGCTGCACTGCAGGGCGCAAGTCGCCCTGTCCAGCGCGGCAGACGGAGACTTGGAGCGGGGGCTGAGGTCGGTAAAACGATGGGTATTGTTAGCTGGGGCCGGTTAGTATAATTGGTTGTCTGCTGAGGTTTGAAGGTCTTGGTATGCGAGCTGAAGTCGATAAGTGGATTTGTATGTTAACTGAGGTCGGCTGTATGTTAGCTGAGGTCGGTTAGAGAGGACAGATTGTGACAGCGGCCAGCCACCTAGCCCTTCTTGGGAGCGGTAGCTTTCTTGGCCTTCTTGGCGCTCGGGGCGGGGCCAGTGAGTTCGGCGGCCTTGGCCTTGTGAACCGCGGCCACTGCCTGCTCGACGAATGCCGCCAAGCCAGCAGGAAGGGAAGTGGTCGCGCGCTGCACTTGTTCCGCAGTCGCGCCGAGGGTCGCAACCGACGATCGAACAGCTGGCGAAAAAAGCGCCTGCGAGGCAACTAACGAGTCGATCCACTCCACGGCCTTGCTCTTCCATGGCCCATGGGCGGCCGCTCCGCCCCCCAGGTCGGCCACTGGCTTCCCCGCCAGGCGGCCCACGAGATCCATGACGGTGTTCGTCATCTTGAAGATGGTCTTGTACGAGCTGTAAAGCTCCGCTGCCTCGGGGGTCGAGGAAGCAGTAAGCATCTTGGGGTAGTCCGCATCCGTGAGCTCCTTCTTGCAGGCCGATGCGTACATGTCGACGAGCCCCTCATTGGCATTCCACTTGGCCGCCCAGGCTGCGGTGGAGTCCCCAACGAACTGCGAGCACGCATCGACCGTGGCCGAGTCCAGCGCCTCTCGCATTTTGGTGAAGGCATCCGCTGCATATCGCACCAGCGGAGCTCGAACGCCTTTCTCCCCAGGGGAGATGGTTAGGAGCAACATGATAAGGGCGGGGGTGGGGAGGGGGGAGGCGAGGGCGGGGGAGGGGGGGCCTCCTCCGCCCTCACCCCTCACGCTCCTCCGCGTCGTCGTCGTCATCGTCGTCGTCGTCGTCATCGTCGTCGTAATCGTCGTCGTCGTCGTCGTCGTCGTCGTCGTCGTCGTCGTCGTCTCATCCCGCCCTCATCCCCCAGAAGAGTTCGGACCCCGCCAGTCCGACATGCGCTCGGCGAGCGCCGTGAGCTCCGCCGCCCCCTTCGCGAACCCGATGCTGCGCTGCCAGCGCTCGGTGCACTCCTCGGCGAGGCCGTCGCTGATGATGCGCGCGTCCTGGTACTTCATGTCAGAGGCCTTGGCGGCCGTGACCATCCTGGGGAACGAAACCACATGGAAGACGTCGGTTGTCTCCCGAACCTTCTGCTTCTTGGCTTGCAATGCGAGAGCTGCCTGCGTGAAGTCATCAGGGAGCCATTCCACCAAACTCGAAAAGAATCTTTCGTCGTCGATCGCCAGCTGCATCTTGAGGTACTGAACGAACTCCTTCCACTTGGCATCGTTGGCACAAATTTCGTCGAGGTCATGCTTCCACGAGGCGAGGGCCGCAGCGGCGTGACTCTGAGACAGCTTCGCTCGCACGGAGTTTAACACGTGCCCCTGGAGCTCGCGCGCAAAGTCAGTCACGAATGGGAAATCATCGTCCCCGACAGGGGCGCACCGAAACAGATACTCCCGAAACGGTTGGAAGGTCGACGATGCCACGTCGTACTTGCCCTTGCTGTCCGCGGCGGTGAAGGACGGAAAGTGGTTGCTCAAGTGGGCGGTCAAGGCCTCCAAACACTCTGCCTGCTCCTTGATGCGGAGCACTCTGGGGTCGTCATCCTTCGCAACGGCCGCCAACTGCTTGCCGATCTCAGCCGAAGTCTTCGCGATGACCTCAGCGGACGAGCCACTGCCAATCAGCGACGCGGCCGCGCATTCCTTGTCGACGCCATGGGAGGCCAGCTGCGCCTTCAAGGTATCCACCGCTGGCCCCAGGGCACCATGGACAGCTTGTACGAACGTATCGGCCAGTAGCTTGACTGCCAAGTCCACGTGGTCCCGAACCTTGGCAATATTAACCTTGTTCGCCTGCTTGAACGGGTCCTTGCTGGCATCGAACTTACAAAGGTGTGCGAACAGGCCCTTCCACTGCTTGGCCTTTTGCAGCGTGAGGGCGCCATCGTTGAGTTTCGCCTCCTTGCCAATCTCGCCAATCAACTGCATGGCCGCGTTCAGCTCCGAGGCGCCCTGGGTATCAGCGAGCATCTGGAGAATCGCATTCCCGACCGTCTGCGCGATGTGCAGCCCCGTGGCCCGCGCCCCCAACATGTACCCCACGTAAGTCCGCTTCCTGCTCTGTAGCGCCTTCAACTCGGGCAACTCCATCGGCTCGCCTTCTTCAATACTCGCCAGCGCGAGCTTCTTCAAATCATCGAGCTCCACCCTCAAACCGTCGGCGAGAATCTTCAATGTGTCAGTGGAAGTAAGGAAGCTGATAACATTCTTCATATTGCCTTTTTCACTCATCAGGGCATCAAGGTCACTGCAGATGCGCTTGCGCTGGATGGTCTCCTGAAGTGTCTCGGGCATCGCGTTAATCCCATGGCTGCAAATCATTGGGTCCCCATGAGGGTCCAGCAAGGCAACGTACTCAGGCGTCCCGAACGTCGCGCCGTTCAACGCCGCGTGCACCACCCTGTGGAGCCCGACCCCGCTACCCCCCTTCCCTCCCCAGAGCTCCTCCCACCCCGCCTCCCCCATCCTCCTCATCATGCCCCCCACCCACCCCCCACCCCCTCCTCCTCCTTGTCCTCCTCCTCCTCCTCCTCCCCCCGCCACCCTCCTCACCCTCTTCCCCTGCCCGCCTCCATCCCCTCTCACTCCTCCCTCCCACCCCCACCTCCCTCCCGCTCCCTCCCCCTTCCCCATCCATCCTCAATCTTTTCCCTCATCCTCTCTTTCCCCCTCACCCCACCCGCCCATTCGCCGCCCCCGCCATGCCCTTCATGATCGCCCTCCTTACCTCCTCCTCTCCTCCTTTCCTCCTCCTCCTCCTCTCCTCCTCCTCACCTCCTCCTCCTCCTCATTCCTCTCCTCCTCCTCCTCCTCCTCCCCCCCCCCCCCCCCCCCCCCCCCCCCCCCCCACCCCCACCCCACCCCCCCCCCCCCCCCCCCCCCCCCCCCCCCCCCCCCCCCCCCCCCCCCATCCTCTCCCCCTCCCCCCCCCCCCCCCTCCCCCGCCAAGCCGGCCTGGAACGGCACGACGGGTGCATCTGAACGCCCAGGCGCTCGCACTCCTCGATGGCGGAGGCCACTGCGTCTGGGTCTGGCGGAAGCGCGTCCGAGCGCAAGGCGTACTCCATCACCGACTGCAGCTTGGACTCCAACCCTTTGAGGTCCGAGAAGATGCGCATGCCGTGCGAGTCCGAGTCCGCCTCACCAGGCACCATGCCAGCACTGTAGATTGCAGCCATATCTGGGCCTAAGCGCTTCTGGACCGCGTCAAGCTGCTTCTTGGACTCAGCCTGCATGTTGCCCACGCCGTCGTAGAGCTCGCGGTCGCTCAGGGCGCGGATGTACTGCGTGGCTGTCAGCGCCACGGCCTCACTGGCGTTCAACTGCTTGGCGCCTGCACCCGACGCGGGCGCCCGAACTCTGGTGGAAGACGCAGCCGCCAGGGACTGGGACTGCGACGACGAGGCAGCGGAATGGCTTCTCCTTCCCTGCGCCGTCACGGATGATGACCCGTCCGACGCAGGCTCAAAGAGGGCGTCCAGCATGCTAAAATCGTCGCCTTTCTTCGTGGACATGTTGAGTTTGTTTGCCAATACGGGGGCCTCATCTGTGCCGATGTTGACATGGCTATGCCTGGCAAATTTGCGCTTCTTGGCGGCATTCCAAACTTCGTCGACATCTTCTTGGTCCATGTGCTTGGAGTCGGCGATGTTGCCAACCATCCTGAGCTCGTTCACGAGCTCGTCCGTCAACGTGTAGGTGCCGATGGGCTCCCCGTACGACTTGTCCCGAACAGCGCCGACAATCATGCCGTCGGAAGTCGGCAAACGCTGCAACTCCTTGGGGTGGCACTCTGGCAGGGAGTGCTTCTCAGCGTACTCGTTCCACATTAGCTTCGGCCAGAAAACGCCAAGATTCTTGGATATGCCGAGCTTCTTCCCCTGAGTCGCCTGAACCATGCGACGAGCGCCGCATTCGTGTTGCTCCCTCCGTCTTGACCGCTGCGCCTCGCCTCGCATGCCCTTCTCGTAGCTGTCAAGAGTGTCATCGTAGTCGCCCTGGTCCAGCTGACCGCTCTGGAGCTTCTGTTGGACTGACTTCGCGGTCTCCGTGGGGTAATTGTTGTAGACGTTCTGGACGCATGGGGAACAATGGTTGCTCCTCTCGGACCGCCGAGGCAAATTGGGGACCAACCCTCTCTTCTTTTCGTTAGGGTTGGGCGACCCCCAGCTGCGGAGACAAATGTCGCAGCCCAGCCCAGAACCCCGCGCAACCTTCTCGCCAAGCGAGCACATCAAAACCGAGCCAAGCGCGAGGACCGTGAGCTTGAAATATGGATGATATGGACGATATGGAATAGCAGCAGAGCTGCCGCTGAACATGCAAATGGAACTGTGACCTGTGATCTGAGATCAGCACTCTGAAAGTCGTAGCCTAAAACTGCTATGGAGGAGGAGTAGGTGGAGTGGAGTGGATGGAATGGAGTGGATGAGGAGGGGAGTGGAGTGGAGGCGGGATGGAGGTGGAGTGGACGAGGAGGTGGAGTGGAGTGGAGTGGGAGCGGGATGGAGGAGGAGGATGTGGAGTGGAGTGGAGGCGGGATGGAGGTGGAGTGGATGAGGAGGGGCTCCGCCCCCTCAGGCAAGGATCACATCATGACGAGCTTCGGCCCTCATGGGGCGCTGGAATCCACAGACACTGGAGCCCCTTGGAGACCATGGAGGGACCCTGGGCGCTTTGGAGGCCTGAAGGCCTCCATAGACTCTCGGATATCATGGAGACTACGAAAGCCTTATGAGACTGGAGACTCTGGAGATCCTGTGCCCTTGAAGCCCCTAGGGGGGCCATGGGGATACGCTAGAACCATTGAGACCTGAAGACCTCCAGAAGCCCTGGGGACTAGGAGGATCGAAGCCCGAAGAGGCCCGAAAGACTCTGGAGACAAGCGTATCTAAAACCCCTAGGCCCTGGGAGTCTGGATGCACCAAGCCGCAGGAGCCCCCGACCCCAGGACCCCGCACGGGCGCGGACCTCATGACGGGAGCGGACCCAATGACCCCAAAGGTTAGGTGAAGGGCATGTTTGCCTTCTCACCGACCGTCGCTCACAGCATCGGCATCGGTCTTACTAAAATAAACATTTCGCCGTTCGGGGTCGCACTCCCAACTGGCGGGAGAATCATGCGCTCAGACTGGCAATCTAATAGGGCGACCACCCTGGCGGCGGCTGGCCCATGAAAGCAGACTTTGGAATGCCTGGCCCTGGCCCTGGCGGTTTCGTCATGGCCAACACCTGGGTAGCGTGGGCCCTAGTGTTGGAACCATCGAGCAGATACACTGGTGGTGGAAGCGAAGGAGGCTTCGGGAAGTGCGCCAGGGGCGGAGTCCTGGGGGTCCCAGTGCAGCCGCCCGTCGTGCCCGTCGCGTCCACCGCACTGCCCTTGCCGCCAAGAGGAATGTAGGAATCGCTGCCCTGCCCGCCAACAGGAATGACGTCGTTGCCGCCCATGCCCCAGGACATCGGGGGGGCGACCATGGGCATGGCCTTCGCCTTCGGCTGGAGGCTGGCCATAGCCATACCATCGCCGCCCATGCCACCCGTGCCGTGCACCACGTTGCCGCCCATGCCGCCCATGCCGCCCATGCCGCCCGTGAACTGCGAGCTTCTGCCGTCCATCGCCATCGTGGGGCGCACCACGGAGGTCGGCGTGGCGGTGAAACCGCGCCCACCCATGCCGCCAATGCCGCCCGTGCCGCCCATGCCGCCACCGCCACACCCATCACGGTGGCCGCCCATGTCGTCGTCGCGCATCAGCACCACCATGCCGTAGCCGCAGCCGCCCTTGCCGCCGCCAACGTTCTGGTAGATCCCGCAGCCACCTGGAATTGCGCCCTCGAACCGCTCGCCGCCGTGCTGCCCATGCCCAACTGCGAAGACATTCCGCACCATCGCTTGGTTGTCACTCGGCGGTGGCGTCGCATTCCCAGCAGGGGGCCGCTGTAGCGCACCATGCACATCATGGGTCGGCGTCGGCGGTGGCGCATCAAGCGCCTGGATCGGCGTCGGCGCGGCATGCGCATGGGCTCGCGTGGCGCAGCCCCCGTCGCCTCCGCCTCCCGTCGCCTCGCCGCCTCCGCCGCCTCCGCCGCCTCCCCCGCCGCCTCTGCCGCCTCCCCCGCCGCCTCCGTCGACGTCTCCCGTAGGCCCTGCAGGAAGTGGATTCGGAAACCCCCTTGACTCCGTTGTGCTGGATGATGGGCCAGGGATGCAAAATCTGGTTGCGCCGTCTGGGTGTGAATAGTATCCGCCTCGGCGCCCCCGCCGCCGAACTTGGAAGTGCAAACTATTAAGGGGTTGAGGGGAGGGAAGGGGAGCGTCAACTATTTAGGGGTGGACTGGAGGAGGGAGGAGGGGAGGGGGGTCTAAACTATTAAGGGGTGGAGGGGAGTGTCAACCATTGAGGGGTGGAAGGGGAGGGGAGGGGTGAATGAGCAGAGGGCGAGGGGAGGGGAGGGGAGGGGAGGGCCGGATTCCGGATTGCGGACAATGAACCGAAGGCATTTGAATAGGAGGCCCGAAATTGTCGTGCTTTCGTGAACTCGCCACGGCTGGCCACTCACTGACTGGACCATCTGGGTGAGGGCAGATATGAAATTTCCACTGAGACGCGCCATGAGTGCATAAGTTACCAGGAGAGACTGAGACTGCGTCAACATAATGAAATTTCTGAACGTAAATTGCTGCAAGATTGATGCGGATAAGAAGCTCGGTCATTCCATATGGGCCCAAACCAACGAAGCATTGCATTGCTGACACCAAACACCGCTGGCCCCAAACAGACCTCCACGGACGCTACTAAACGTTGGAAGTGCATGCTACGTGATGTCAGGCATGTCGTGTTAGCATATGGGCAAAACTGAGGCTCGATGTGGGGGGTATCTGTTTCGGGCGCAGCCCAAACTTTTTCCCAGCCATCCTGTGGTGTTGGGTCCTCGTTTTGAAGAGACAGCGCCCCGCGTTCCTCTCCTTTCCTTCCTCCTCCTCCTCCTCCTCCTCCTCCTCTTCCTCCTCCCTCCTCCGTCCTCCCCGTCCTCCCTTCTCCCAGTCCTTGCCCCTGCCTTCACGATGTCCCTGTTTCGGCAAGCCCATCACACGTTTCGTGGCCCCATAGGAAGGTCCACCTAAGGCCCCAGTGGCGCAGATCGCATGGCGGCGCCGCCCCATTTTGGCACAGCCCTCATACGCTTCGGCCCTATAGGGAGCCCCACCTAAGGTCCCAGTGGCGCAGTTCGCATGGCGGCGCCGCCCCATTTGGGCACACACGCTTCGTGGTCCCATCGGGGGCTCCTCCTAAGGTTCCAGTGGCGCAGTTCGCATGGCGGCGCCGCCCCATTTTGGCACACCCCTCACACGTTTCGCGACCCCATAGGGAGCTCCACCGAAGGTCCCAATGGCGCAGTT